AGTGTTTATTCCTTTTGATGCAAATGCTATTATGAATATCCCACTTTGCACAAGAAAAGTTGATGATTTCTGGGCATGGGACAAAGAGAAGAGAGGTAATTTCACTCCGTTCGTCCAACAAGATGTTGATAACAACCAAATCAATAGACAGAATTGGTTAGAAGATGGGGATGGGCGGTAGGATATCTCATCTGAATCTGATGGGTGGCCACCGTTGTAGAAAATTAAAGTACCATCGAAGTTAAAAGTATTTTTGTGACGGTTGTGCCAACACCCCTTGCCAATGGCTGACCTCCTTCATCATAGAGACATGTCCACCACCCTCGTATGTACGATGTGTGGACCTGAAGATTCTTAGCGACATTCACTACTAAATTGTTCAATGGCCAGAAACGCATGGTCATTCTCGTTTGAGGAGATGGTTGAGCACATGTGTGCTAACTAGGATATGAATGCGAAGAATTGGATCTAGTCAATGCATAAATCTTTATCGCGTGAAAAATTCTTTTGAATAGTGCTGACACTATGGGCCATCTGGAGCACTACAAGAAGGAATATTCATGAAGAGATGTATCATTCTCTATCAACACATTTTTTTATATATCCTCATTTCTCTCCGACATTTAGGTACTTGACAAGATTAAAACACTGGCCAACAGAAGCAGAATTGCTAGACCTATTGTTTGGCTTGCCCATCCTGAGGAATGTGTGAAGTTCAATGGTGACGCAACGGTGGGACAAAACAAGGATTTTGAGGCAATGGGTATTTTATGTTGTGATCATGAGGGTAAATTTCTTGGAGCTTCGTCAATCAAGTTTAGGGATTCTGGATTCGACAGCTCTGGAAGCTCTAGCGGCACAGAATCGCTAGCCCCTGCTGAAAATCTATATGTCCAGAAAATTCAAGTGGCATCACATTGCAAAATTGTGGTCTCTGATATCTTGCGGGGAACTTCAGAGTATGGAGCTATCAGAAAGGAGGTAGTATTATTGGTCTAAAGTTTTTTCAGTTTGTAATTTTTGTTCATGAGTATAGGAGTTCAAATTGCAAAACACACAACTCGCAAAACATGCTTTATCTTTAGTGGTTGGTCGTCATGTTTGGTTAGGGCAACCTGATGATCCTTGGTTCGTCCTTCTAAACATTGTGACGGTTTGAATAAAGCTTCGCGAGTTTGCCTAAAAAAATGTCCTTTTTTTATTATTTCTCAAAAAACAAAATTGCCTTTATGAGGGCGGAGGACAGAGAAGGGGAGGCCCCGTCAGCAGCTAGGTTTTCCCTCATGACACTCGCAGGAGCAATGGGGGGGACGGGATGGGCTAGAGGAGGTTGTATATTTTCACATTGTGAATGTTAGTATTTCTTTCTCTATAAAATTTGTCAAACTTTACGAGGTTTGACTTCAGATAAATCTTATATGCGAACTAAAAAAGACTGGAGGGAGTATAAAAAAAACTTGTGTTGAACTAACCAACCTATCTAGTGCTTTTCTGCGGATTCAAAACTTGTATTACTCAATTAACAATTCGGTACAATCCATCGCACCTACCTCCAAAACCTCCGGACGACCTGAACCAATCCAAGTCATGGTTCTTCCTTGAACTCTACCAAAAGCAGTTAAACTATCACTAGCCTTATTTTGCGACCGTGAGACATGAGCAATACAAGATTGATGAAGACTAAGAAGATATCATATCTCCTTTACTAGAAAAGCATAAGCAGAACGGTCCATACCATCACATGTGATCATAGACACCACCACAAGAGAATCCATCTCGACTGTAATAGGCAAATCTGATCGTTGTATAGAATAGGAGAGCCCCTCCATGCAAGCGCATAGTTCAGCCTCCAAAGCATCTCTGCAAGAGAACAGAGCCCTGCACGCCGAGAGGATAATCTGTCCATCCGAGCCCCTCACAATCATCCCTACTCCAGCTGTGTCACTCCAAATAAAAGACCCATCTTTGTTGAGTTTCACCCAGCCATTCCCCGGCATAGACCACCTCGGCGGTGCAACAACAACTTCTCTTGTATAGTTAGTAGCACCATCCATAGAGATAGTAGACTTCCCCTTTGCTGGGTCACAATGCAAGTTTGATTTCACTGCCACCAAGGACTTCATGTAAATTTGCAAGAATTGGATGGGTACCTCCATAGGTGGGGTAGGTTTTGAGTGTACTAGCTCATTCTGGACGTACCAGCATCAAAATCATCAACATCATGCACCGTTCAAGATCGCTCAAGTGAGCTAGGACATGCAACAACCATTCTTTGCGAGTAGGTATGATCGAGTCCATATTGGGCAGCCTCCATATTTTTGCCGTTGACCTGTAAAGGTCCCGGCCATATTGACACTTCACAAATGGGTGGAAGTTATCTTCTGACTCAACCCCACACACTGGGCATATACAAGTGAGCTCGAGACCGATCCTACACTTATTTTTCTAGGTCGGCAGACTATCCGCACCCGCCATGCAAAGTTTGTGATCGTTGGCGGTGCACCGTAGTTCCAAATGAATTTCTAGCAACTCCTACCTCCCATCGGCGCTATACTGGAGGACGCCGCGGACCCTGTGGTGTAGCTCATCAAACGCCAGACGGTAGGCGCTCCTAACTGTGAAGATTCCAAGTTTTTCAGGTGCCCATGCAAGGAAATCATCATCCAATCTGGGGGAAGCCCTGATCTTTAGGATCTCTTCTACATCCGCAGCAACGAAGTATTGAGAAAGCAGCTCAACCTTCCATGAATCATTACCGTTCAACAAGTTAGAAGCGAAATGCATACGACACACGCCTTGCCGTGAGATGGGCCTAAACGAAAAAGGTCGGGGAATCCAATTGTCACGCCACACTCTTATGCTTCTGCCATTCCCAACACGCCATATTAATCCTTGCTTTAGCAGATCCAGACCATGGTTAATTGCTTGCCATGAGGATGAGGCATTACCTGTGAAGATAGTATCCTTAAGCTTGCCATGTTGGTAGTACCTCGCTTTGAGAACTTGTGCACACAAGCTGTCTGGTCTGGATATTAATTGCCACGCTTGGTGAGCCAGTAAGGCCTGATTGAACAAACAGAAATCCTGGAATCCCATGCCACCCCTATCCTTGGGTTGCAGCAGATGATCCAACCTTTCCAATGAACTTTCCTTTTGCCTTTTTCCGATCCCCAGTAGAAATTCCTTACCATCCTTGTGTGGTCCTCGCACACCGAGTGGGCAGTTTGAACACGCCCATAATGTACGTTGGTAGTGCTTGGGCTACTGACTTGATCAAAACCTCTCTGCCTGGTTGGGTTAAGTGATCATCACCCCACTGAATGAGGCGTTTAGTGAGGCTGGTTTGAATATTCGGAAACTTGCCCTTAGACATGCGACCCTCTTGTGTAGGAAGGCCCAAGTATTTTTCCTCGAAGAACAAGATGGTAACATTCAAAACATCTCTGACTTCCTCCTGTACAGCAGCAGGACAAGTCTCACCAAAGAAAATTGAATACTTGTTGTAATTAAGGCTTTGGCCTTTAGCTGAAACATACATATCTAGCACATCCTCTACACTTTCCGCCTGAGCTCTAGAGGCATCAAAAAAAAAACATGGTGTCGTCAGCGAATAATAAGTGGGATATACCGGGCGCCCTTCTATAGATCCGAACCGGTGAGATGACACCGGTCTGCCCTTTATGTTTCAGAATCGCCGATAGTCCATCCGCCACAAACAAAATAGATATGGTGAAAGTGGGTCCCCCTGCCGAA